CAGAATAATCCTCTCATAGCAATTAAAAGGACTAAAACATGCTATATAATGTAATGTCCCAGGAAAGCAACAACAGTGATTTCCTCTTATAAGTTTCAGATTTCATATTGTCAACTTTATTTGGGGGCGATAACTTAATCATGAATATAAGTGATCCTTAACCATTGTGAGGGAAAGAGCATGCAGCAAAATTATGTACAATCTGTTGCTTGTGTTTTTGATAGAGTTAATGGTTTTTCTGGCTGAGGCCCAGAATTATCCTAAATGGCTGAGATATTTTACAATGCATTGGTCTTCACCACAATCCGTGAGGTAAATATGGTATTTCTCCTAATCTTCCAGATGAGGAAACCAAAACCTAGCAGTTAGCAATCTGCCTGATCTCCTTCACCCGATTCTGTTGTTCCTCCATTAGTTACTGCCATTCAACCAGTGCCTCAAGCCAGAAACTGGGTAATCCACTGTGACTGCTCCCCCACACCCCCTTCCCACCGCAGGCACCAAGTCGTAATGCTTTTTGCCTCCCTCATAGCATTACCAGAGATGATGACCATCCCCACAGTTGCTGGCTGACATAAATCACCAACTCTTCTTTCTTTTAATGGTTCAAAAGAGTTATTCATTTGACCAGCTAGTAAGTTACCATTCTTTTTTTTTTTTTCAAATTGTAGTATAGTCAGTGTATAATGTTGTGTCAGTTTCTGGTGTACAGCATAAATCATCAACCCTTTACTGACCCATAGATAAACTTTCCCAAACTTTTTTCTGGCTGCCTGTCTGCCTCCAGTCTACTTTGGACACTAGAAAGAGGGTGATCTTTCTAAAAGGGCAAATCGTATAAGGTCATTTACCAGCTTGAAACACTTCAGTGGCTCCCTGTTAGCTACAGAATAAAATCAAACTCTCTAACGTGGCATACAAGACCCTCCACAGTTTGACCTCTGCCTGTGTCTACTTTCAACCCTCCCTGACCTCCCCACCTCCTGCAGCTCCCATGCTTACACTCCTGTCTCACCGGAGGGATGGGCAGGCTCTTGCCGCCACACACATGCTGTTCCCTCTGCCTGCAGTGTCCCTTTATCCTTACTTCCCTTGGCTAAACTCTATTTAACCACTCACTTGGCTGCAGTGTCAATCTCCAAGGAAGTTTTTCTGATGCTCCTCTCTTACGTTTCCACCCCATTCCAGTCTATACTTGTTGTAAATTTACTGCTCAGCTGTTTTGTTTTCATCACTCTATCTTCCGTACGTGGACTTGCATGAGAAGCTTGGACCATCAGCTGGCTTGGCTTTAAACCTTGGCTCTTCCCCTTAATATATGAATGAAACTTTGGTTGCTCTTTTCTCTCTTAGGCTCACCATTAGTTAAAAATAATAATAATAATATTGATTATACTAACTTCAAAAAGTTTATGTAAATCTGACATAGTTTTATGGGAGTAACATTCTTAGTTGTGGGCTAATATAGTGATTCAATAAACATGAATTATTAGTATTACCTATTCTCTGAGAACATGATAGAAATAGTTTTATCCCAATGAGCTGTCTTCATAGTACTTATCATTCTCTGAAATTGTCTTGTCTGTATGTATTAAATATCTGTCTCCCTAGACCCAGAAACTAAAATTCATAGAACAGTGAACTTGGTAAACGTATTCACTATTATAATCTCATCACCTAGCATGTCATGGGAAATCAATATATGTCATTTGAATAAATGAAAAAAAAGTAGAATATGGCAGCAACTTAAAATATCTGACATGGGCAGGGAATTGAGAAGTACTAAATTGGATTAAAGACACATTAAAATACTGTACAAAGTTACTCTGGATTATCTTCACCAAGAATAAATGGTGCTATATAAGAGTATATAAGATTATATTGATAACTTAATGTCACTTAATAATTAAATTATTGATAATTTGATGTCACTTGATAATTAAATTGTGTGCCTCTTTGTCAGGTCCAATCGATAGCCCACATGAATCACAAAAAGTATTGAGGTGAACAAGGGCTAATGTTTTAAGGGCAGTGTTTGCATGTGATACACAATTGCTTACAGTGACTTGACTCTTTTACTCATTTTTTAAATTCCTTTTAACTTGACTTCTAGCTATAAGCCATTGATGTTAGTGAATGGCCAAGACTCATTAATTCCACTTTTGCTGACTGTTTAAAAGTAACATCCCTGAAATTGTAAGGATAGCATCCAAAGGAGAAAATAACATCATGGTACCAAGTATCTGGCCAAGTGAGACTTGTGTCTCAAGTGGAAAAGGCTCCACACCTGGGTACAAGGTGTAAAAGTTTCTGCTGGACATTTTTAAAAATTAAAAAAAAAATTTAATTGAAGTATAGTTTACAATGCTATGTCAATTTCTGGTAAACAGCATAATGTTTCAGTCATACATGTACATACATATATTCCTTATCATATTCTTTTTCATTCTAGGCTATTACAAGGGATTCAATAATATAGTTCCCTGTGCTAAACAGTAGGACCTTTCTCTTTGTCTATTTTATATATAATAGTTAGTATCTGCAAATCCTGAATTCCCAATTTATTCCTCCCTACGCCTTTTCCCGCTGGTAACCAACCATAAGTTTGTTTCCTATGTCTGTGAGTCTGTTTCTGTTTTGTAAATAAGTATATTTGTGTCTTTTTTTTTTTTTTAGATTCTACGTATAAGTGATATCATATGGTATTTTTCTTTCTCTTTCTGTCTTACTTCACTTAGAATGACAATCTCCAGGTCTACCCAATGTTGCTCTGCTGGACGATTTTGAAGGCTGGTTGTAGGACAAGACCATCATCAGGACTGGGCATGTCAGGGTGCTTTGAAAGGAGAAACAGGAGTCCCTTCCCCACTAACAGCCCTCTCGCAATTCCTTGAGTCTGTTTAATGACCTGCTGGGAGGCTTCCCTCCTCTAGTGTCACTCTGGACCCGCGCAGCCAGACTTTGTCTCTCAGCAATGCACGGTTATAACTGCTGTTAGATCTTTTTAAAGATAAAGATTCCCAGAGTCCTGGCCAGACTCATTGAATCAGTATCTCCCAAAACTACAAAATTGAATTTTTAATTCTCTGTAACTTAAGTGATCATAAATCCTGTTTGCCCTGCTCAGTCTTCAACTTTCCTTGTTATTCTACTGTAATTCACTCTAAATATGACCTGGTTTGGAAATAAATTCTATGTCCACCTTATCTACAGGCAATTCTGTTGAGAGGCCAAGATCAAGACTTCCTCTCAACTCCTGTTTCTCATTTATATGCTCTATGTTTATGGCGCTCTTGCTAAAAACTTCCTTTGATATGTTTTATATATATATATAGACATAGACAACATATGCATTTTTTGACTCCGATTTCACAGTAGAGAAACGATAAGCAGGCAGTGATGTTGTTTTGGTTCCTCACTATTTTATTCTATAAAATGAAGTTTTGGCCTAACTAAAGTTTTCTTCAATCACTACAATTCTTGCAGAGTGAATGAAAAGACTCCCTTGCCCCCTTGCTTGAAACTGAATTCATGAACAGAACTGCTTCGGAATGTTTAGCACCAGCCCCTAGTCATTTAAATGAAGCATCAGACCCGAAGGGCAAGGAATAGTATGCTAATGTCTGGCTGATTACCTCTCATCGTGTTTACCCATTACTTTGCGTTCAGTGATGGCAAAGATTAGATGAAGCTTGAAATGACAAAACAGGCCACACCAAACCTGAAGTGTCTCAGTAACAGAGTGCCAGTCTAACATCTGTGGACAGCTCTGTGGTTTCAAAATTGGATTTTTCTCACATCTACAGTGCCAACAACTAAATCTATAGGTTGATGGCTTAATCTAGATACAATTTGAATAAGGACACTTACTTCCCACCTTTTTAAAGATGGGTTAATTGGTTTCTAAGATTGAAAACCTCCGGGAAAAAAGTCAAAACAAACTGCCTTGTTTATCTCTGCATCTCTAACCTCAGCCCCGTTTGAGGCCTAATTGGTGGTTAATAAATGCTAGCTGAATTAAATTGAATAAATTAATAAACAAAAAAGCACTGCTCTAAGTCAGTAGTTCTCAACCAGGAGCAATTTTGCATCCAAGGGGATATTTGGTAATAACTGGAGACATTTTTGGTTGTCATATCCAGGGGAGGTACTATTAGTGGAGTCCTGGGATGTTTCTAAATACCCTACAAGGCACAGAACAGTCTCTCACAACATAAAAATGTCCAACCCAAGATGTCAGTAGTGCCTATGTGGAGAGATCCTGCTCTAGATTGCTACTCTGGATCTGGATTACTTCTGATTTTTCAACTTTAATTATCAATTTTACAACCTTATTTTCCTTCTGTAAAGCAAAACCAAAGACTAGTTTCATTGACTTGGCCATCAGAACACTGAGAATTTTATTACACCCTAACCTACTGCCTTTATTTCCTATTGTTACTTTTCAACTGGATCCATCCATAGTGGTGGTTCTCTGAACCACACACACCTGGAAGACTTGTTAAACCATAGACTGCTGAGTTTCTTCCCCAGAGAGTTTAGCAGGTCTAGGGTGGGACCTAAGAATTTGCATTTCTAAGGAGTCTCCTGAGCTGATGCTGCTGATCCAGGTACCACTCTTTGAAAAACACTGATCTACAGCAAGATGATCCACTTCTTCACAAAGTCCTCAAATTACCGTGCCTCTCTCCATCTTTCCAATTATTTTTAATGAAGACTGCTGGCTTCCCTTTGTAAATACAACCAGTCTTCATTATCAGTGGATTCTATTATTTTCAAATTTGCCTACCCACTGAAATTTTTTTACGACCGCAGAATTGATACTCATGGTGCTTTCATGGTTATTCATGGACATGTGCAGAGCACTGAAAAAAAATGAGTCATCCAATGTACATGTTCTTAGCTGAGGTTGAACAAGGCAATGCTCTGCTTTTGCCTCTCATACTGAAAACATGTGCCCTTTTTTTTCAGCCTATTTAGTGCCATGTATTTCTACATTTGTGTGCTTTTCGTTGGTGATTTTTCTGGGTAAAATACCCCCCAAGCATATTACAGAAGTGCTGACTAGTGTTTCTAAGCACATGAAGACTCTGATGTGCCTTATGGAAAAAATGCTTGTGTTAGATAAGTTTCCTTCAGGCATGAGTTATAGTGCTGTTGGCCATGAGTTCAATGTTAATGAATATATATATATATAATTATTATATATTAAATATGTTATATTATTATCATATATAATGCTATATATATTACATGTATATATAATAAGATGTTTTTAAACAGAAACGCACATAAAACAAGATTAATGAAAATGTGAGCAGAGGCTCATAGGAACCTAAGCCTGTTTTTCCTGTAGGAGCAATGATTCAGTATTCACTAATTCAGTGCTTTAAGGGACTTTATAGAACATAACTACTGCAAGTACAAAGTAACAAATCGACTGTAAATAAAGCTTTCTCATCCACCTTCCCCATTACTTTTTCCAACTGCCCTGTACACAAAAAGCTTCCTTTCTTTGTGCTTAAAAAGCTCCTTCCCACCTGCAGGATTCTTTAAGCAATCAAGGACTCCCCTGCAGCAATGCACTTGTCACTTTGTAATGCCCTGCGGAGCTGGGTTTGTGTTTTATATTCTTTTGTTCTCTCCTTTGTTAAGCATAGTGCTGGGTACTTAATGGGTGTTTACTAAATACCACTAGATACATTAATTCAAATGCAAATACGTTGTCCCTGTAGAGAGACTTCACAGTGTCAGCATGGATTAGTTTGCTTATTCCACAGAATCAAATAAAGCCCTGAGGAAAGAGGCCACCTCACAAGTCAGTGTTGAAGGATAAATAACAGAATGTATTTTTCCCCCTTTGGCAAAAGGTTAAGTCCTTAAATCCTATTTCTTTCTTCCCTCTTCTCTCTCCCTCTTCCCTCCCTCCCTCCCTTCTCTCTCATTCTCTGTATGAGTTCGAAACAATTATATGGTTCAACTGAATTAAATGCTTTTGCAGCAGTGAACCGTATTGGCATGTCAGAAAAGGGGAACAAATCAACACGACACTAATTGCCAAACAGTGTACTCATTTTCCTTCCCTGTGCATTTCTGGATTCTAGAATTAGTCGGAGCCGGACATTTGGCCTCGGAGTAGAAACCTCCCATAGGTGGATATTGCTTACAGAAGAGGTCATGGTAATGGTTATTCCTGGACCGTGGAAAAACTGCATGGGGTTCACCATCTTTCACCCTCTGAAGACACTGGAAGGCTTAGGTTATACTGACAGTGTCAGCCAGACAGGATGATGTAGGGCCAACTGCAGTATACCTGGTAGACTTCCCACAGCTCTGAAAATGTATAATGTTCTTTCATCTTTACCATCATTGCAAAATTCTTTTTTTCCTCTTAGTGATTTCCCTCAAAAGAGCTCATATCAAAAACTCAGAGGCGGCTGGGTTGGGGGGGATGTAGCTTTCATGAGCTTATTCTCACCTAAGACTGAAGCAGAAGATTTTAATGAGTTTTTCTTACTTGAGATAAACAGGGTTAATATTCCAAACATGAACAAAAACCATGAATACTGCTTGAGCACAAAGCAGTCAGAGCTGATGCCAACCACAGAGCGAGCAGGATCCCAGAAGCCCTGTGTTGTGCTAAGTATGGATTGTAGTTTCTGGATCCTTAGGAGGGTGTGGGGGAGGCGTCTGAGAAGAGGAGCCAGGACAGCCAGGACTCAGGGAGCGCGGGACAGCTTTGCACAGTGCTGCTTACTAACCGTTTGGGAGATATTTAGATATTGTATCAATTAGACAGACTGAAGCAAGCAGGCTGGAGATCAGCTATGAGGACAGGTTTACCAAATCAGAGCATTATTCTGTGTGAGAAGTGCTAACCAGAAGAAAACTGACTTGTATACTTTAGGATGCTATCTGAACACTAGATTTGGCATCTGTCTTTTCCAATGGGAGAAATGCCATCTGCAGATGAAAACTGTTTAATACAGACAGAAGCCTGCTTCATGTTTTCCATTCCAATCCCAAGGTTAAGTGAACAAAACTCTAAGAACAGAAGTTTAAGAACTATTCACGACGGAAGAGATTTGGAAGGGCTCAGCACTGTAATTTGCAGGGAAGTTAAACTTAGCAGAATCACTGAGGCGGCTTTTCATCGCACCTTCCCCAGAGGGCGGTGATGTGCTTCTCTGTCTCAGGGCCCGTCTGTGAACTGGTGGGCGGGGCCCCATGCACGGGACTGAGGTCGTGGCTGAAAGCATGAGAGGGGCAAGTCCAGAATTTGTCTGTTGATTAAGGAAGGGACTAGTCTGCTCTTGGGTCTATTATCATAGACTCTAGGAAGTTAGGGCATGTGGCACAAGGTCATTGCAAGTACTAAGGGGAACTAGTGAAAAAGAGACATGGAAGCATCTGAAAAATATGTTAAAAAGCCAAACTTAAGGAACTGTTGGGTATTATGATGAAAAATTCTTCTTAGTTGATACAATATGTTCGAAGGAAATTTTCGCTTTCTGGCCCTGGTTTCCATGAGATGAATAATGGCGCTGCAGCACTGTGCTGTGCACAGGTGTAGGCGATCAATACACACACACCGAGCAATGAAAGCCTTGCCACCCAGCATAAACCAGTGCAAACGCCAATGCTCACTGAGAAGTAGCGGTTAAAGCTCCCAGTTAGACGCAGACTGCAGTGAGGGCTGATGTTCTGAGAATTATTCTTGTCGCACACATACCTGTCGGCTGATGAGGCGATGTGTTTATATGTGTGGGCAAAAGGGGTTAGCAGGGATCTGTAATCATTCTGGCCTTCTGGCTTTTTGTTTTCTTAATCTGTCATTGGCAGTTTGGCATGATGTAACCTTTTGAAGTCCAGGATTCTGCCTGTCTTGTTCACCAAGTCCTGACACAGGGTAGCTACTCAACAAATATTTGTTCAGTGAATAAGGAGCCCTTTAACAGCTGGGAGCATATACCTCTGCAGAGCAATAGACTCTGAACGTTCTGAAATCACTTCTGCTTTCTTGCCTCTTGAAATCCGAGAGTCAGAACACAGAGAGGGAACACTCCATCCAGTCAAAATTCCCCAGTGACTGTAGAGCCTAAGGTTAAATATAACTTTTTCAAGTTGTCTTCCAGGATTCAGAGTTCTTAGTTTCAGCTCAGTGGTCCCAGAGGAAGCTCAAAGAACAGGGAAAAAAATGTGATAAGACTGAGTCTATTTATAAATCACTTGTGGTGCTGCACAGAATATGGTCAAAACTGGAACTTGTTGTGGTCTTATGAACCCTCCACCTCCCTACCTCAGGGAGAGTGTCTGATAGATTCTGTTGTTACTAATCTCCGTTTAGCAATCCGGCCCTTGTGATTGTTTCTTCGAAACTAGAGCCTCGAAGTAAAAACTGATTTATCTGGTTCCTTGATGCCAGACAACCAACGAAAGGTCCATCAAGTACACTGAACATCTGTGCCTCTTTACACAGGGCAGGACGCAGGGCAGCGTGTCTGTCTATTATGTGAGTGGCATTTATGCCTTCTTTTCTGACACCACTGTTACCCCACCCCCATAGAGAAAGCACTTTAAAAACTGGAAAATACATTCTGATCTATTTCACATTTCTAATTACTTTAAAACAGTTATACTTCATTCAGGGCAACTGGGTTCTTAGAATAATAGTTCACACAGACTGTAAGCTTTGCAAGGACCCTCTGCTCTGCTTGACCGTAGTATCTAGTACCAACTCTAACGCTGTGTACGCTGTGTACTTAGTAGATACTCAGTAAGTAATTGCTAAATTAACAAATGAATGCCTTTTGTGATGCTTCTGTTTCCTGCATTGCTTCTTAGCTATGGACACAGAAGAATAAACTGAACAGAAATGACTCCTTAAGGTTTTGAAATCATATGCAAAGCAGAGGTTGGTTTTTCAGTCCTCGAAAGATCAGGTGAGAACTTTTCTAGCAGAAGGCATAGTGAGGAGTACTTCTGTTGCTCTGAGCTGAAGAGTTTAAGACAGCTTGATGGTGGCAGTCACCATCAGAAGGGCTGTCAAAGCATGCTCACTGTACTTGGAGTTTTCATGGCTTTGCCGCAATCACATAGAAAAAGTATATTTATGATAGAAGAGAATACAGTTCTTCCTTCTATTGGTTTTTGAAGGGCAGAACAATTTAAAAGATGTTACATTTGACAGAAATGTCAGAAACTTAGCAGAATTTTAAAATTATTCAGTGAAAGCCTGGAGGTCTTATGAAAAATAGGTTCTCTGGTCTATGGTTAGTCATTAGCTAGGACGCCAAGCTCCTAGTCTTTTGTTATGTCCTCCTTCTCTAGAAAGTTTGCTCTTTGTCCCTTTTTTTTTGGACCTTGCTCCCTGTCAGACTGTCATTAAGTAAATAAAACTGAGAAGTTGGAAACAGCTGTGACTCAATAGAGCATTGTTGGGGTTAAAAGTAATGAAATCCAGGTTTAGTTTGACTCTCTTACTTGAGCAACAGGGAAAAACCTTCAGGCATGTGAAATCAACACACCTCTAATTAACTTATAAAGCCCTACACAGTTACTCATTTATTGGCATTACTGTTTGTTACAAAATGGTCCAATACATGAGATACAACTGTCAGCTGATGAGAATAATTTTTATGTCACTTAATACACTACGTTTTATTTCTTTGTGGAAATATCTCATGCAATCTCCCTTACATGATGTTTATATATTAATAAGACTATAGGTAGTGGAAAGAATTAGAATTCAAAGATCTGGTTTCTAAGCTAAAACATTTGCTAGGTTTATGATATAGACAAATCATTTTCCTCTAATTTCTTTTATAAAATCAAGACAAATATAATACTCAGAGCACTTCTGAAATTTCAAATATGAAACTGAGTGATTGTTGAAAAGAATTCCATTACTGTAAATAATTAAAGGAATGAATCATAATGAAATGCCAGGTACTGGTAGAACTGGTGAGAAGTTAAGTCTTCAAACCTCACCTGCCTGCAAACACTCCACACCCAGCAAAGAGCACCTGTAAATTCCACCTGGAGCCCAGTATTCATCACACATATGTAATGGCTCTAAAATATAGTTGTACAACTGCAATAAGCACTTGTGTCCATTATGTGCCACTCAGTGAGAATTTTGATATTGTCTCATTTAACCCTCACTATACACATAAAAAGTAAATGTCATCGCCCCACTTTATAAATGAGGGAATGAAGGCCAGAAGAGGTAAAATCAGTTGACTAAGGATAGACAATTTCTTTGCATCAGAGAAAGAATGGAATCCAATCTTCTTAAGTCTAAAATCTATGCTATTTCCTAGTATACTCAGGGCCTAAGCACCTTAAGGATGCCAACCTAGATATTATGTTCTGGGCATAGCACTTATATTGCCTAATATTTCAAGAGCCATATCTTTTTTTAAATGTGTAGATTTCTTGTTTATTTTTGCTTTATTCTAATGATTCATTACTCTGCACAAATGACTTTGGAAAATCATATGAAGAAATTGGACTCCATGAGCTTATCTGTAAAGTGACTTAGTTCTGTTCTCTCTAGCTTTTCTCGTTCTATAATTCTGGTAAGGGAATTTTATAAGCATACTTTCTCGGTCAATTTCTTCACTTTTTCTTGGCTTCCTTTAACAATATTATAGGATCAAAAAAATAAAATAAAATATGACCTCTTAATATAAAAATGCCCCTTGTATTCATCAGGGTTTTCCAGAGAAACACAACCAAGAGGAAATATACCTTTGTTTAACCACTATAGCTATATCTATCTGTCTAAAAGAATATTTATTATAATTAATTGGCTTATGCGGTTATGGAGGTTGAAATCCCAACATCTGCAGCTGGCAAACTGGAGAACCAGGAGAGCTGATGTGTAGTTTCAGTTCGAGTTCAGAGGCTGAAAACCAGGGGAACTTAAGGTGTAAGTTCTAGTCCAAGTGCCAGCAAATTCAAAACCCAAGCAGAGCCAATGTTTCAGTCCAAGTCCAAAGTCCAGAAAAGCTCAACCATCAGGCAGGAGGAGTTTCCTCTAATTCAGCCTTTTTGTTCAATTTGGACCTTCAACTGATTGGATGGTGCCCCCTCACATTAAGGAGGACAATCCGCTGTACTCAGGTTCCTGATTCAGATGCTACTTCTCTCCAGAAACACTCTCACAGAGATGCACAGAATGATGTTTGACCAAATGCCCAGATACCTCATGGCTTAGTCAAGTTAATGCATAAAATTAACCATCACACCCCCCAGAATACAGCACTTAATTGTTCAGAGACACTGTCTCTGTCTATGGCTTTGAAGGCATCAGGAAGATGAGTAACAATGTGGGCTTAGACTTCCTGAATGGCAGTTTTATTTCTCCAACCTCTCTCCCTGCCACAGAGGGCCAGAATAAGACCTTTTAGTGGGCTACCATTAGAGACAATTTATAATATTTTTTTGGTATATAATTTAAAATTTAAAAAAAACACTAAAACAAAAAATAGGTACAAAGAAATGGAAAGAAGTCTGATCTTCTCATGAAGATTATTTCAATGCTTAAGTTTTGAGGGTGTGCCCCTATTTCACTGATAATCTCAAAATGCTTAATCTGTTCTTTTGATAGTCAGCACTGTCCTCTGTTACCACAGAATGACCATCCAGACCCAATTTGAGTCTTAGGCAACTGAAGGCAGAAATCTTGTGTGAAATGCTTTCATCTGTCATTTGTTGAATTTTAGATTTTTAAAAATTTTTTTGAAAAAAAAAATCTTTCTTTTTATTTAACAAAGAGTGTATGCTTTATTTGTAACTGATATATCTAATAATTTATTTATTTCTAATAAGTGACTAACAACACTACAGATTCACCAGATGCAGTAGCAAACATGTAATGTTGCATTCTAATATTCCAAAAGAGAAAAAAAAGATTAATAAAAGTATGATGCTCATGGATATTTCTAATATTGCCTGACTTGGAAAGATAAAGATCTTGGCCACAACTGATAATTTGGCATGTGACTTACAGGAATGTAGAATTAAATCCTTCCCTCAAACTTTAAAAGATAATTACCCCCATTCCATTTCTAGGTGAAGTGACATCAGTGATTTTTAAATTTTCATTTGATTAGTCCCTTGACTGCTACTGAGTTTGTCTCTCCAACATCTACATGTTGAAATCTAATCCCTAATGTAATGGTATTTGGCAGTGGGTCCTTTGGGAAGTGGTTAAATCACGAAGGTAGAGCCCTCAAGAATGGTATTAGTGCCCTTAAATAGATTCCAGAGAATTATTTGGCCCCTTGCACTATGTGACGATGCAGGGGATAAAAAACAAAAATCAGCTCTCTTGAATCAGAAGGTAGACCTTCACCAGATGTAGAATCTGCCACAGCCTTGATCTTGAACTTTCCACCCTCCAGAACAGTGAAAAATAAATTTCTGTTGGGTATAAACCACCCAGTCTCTATGTCATCCTGTTAGAGCAGACCAAACATACTAAGATCACTGCTTTCACATACAGCATGGTATGTGGAATGTGTAAGTATTTGAATGAATAGCTGCTGACCTTGCATCACAGGCAAGTAGGTGTAGTTACATTTCATGCTGAGAGTATTACCACATGCTCTGTACAGAGTCTCTGCATGGGGAGTATAGATCAATCTTGCGGGGGTATACGTGTTGATTTATTCACTCCATGTGCTCAACAAATATTTACTGAGTGACTACTGTATGCTAAGACTCTAGGTTCTGGAGCTACAGCAGTGAACACAACAGGCAAAACCCCTGCCCTCAGGAGCTTATGTTCTACCTGGATTTCATGGTGCTCTGTACTTGCATTCACCTTCCCATGTCCCTGGTGCGGCCAGAAGGCACTCCTGTTTTGCCCTCTAGAACTCCGTCTTATTAAGCACTGGAGGTTAGAGATACTTTTCCGTTCTAAAGAAAACAATGTATGCCTCACAGTACCTTGTTGGACATGCCATATACACCATGTATGAGGCAAGGGGAATATTTAAAATAAATTGCAAATAAGGCTGGAATGTTAAAAAGGGAAAGGTAGTACCAAGAGATGAAGAATAACTTTTGGAGCAGAGAGGGTGTCTGAGGAATGAGAAAGGAACTGGAGAAAAATAATGCAGGGAAATGCATGGAGGTTTGGGTACGCTTTATTACCCAAATTTGATAGAAGGGTATCAGCTAACTAGTGGAGAGACTTCAGGGGAGTCATTTTAGTGAAATACAATAGTGAATCAGAAAAATGTGATTTTATCTGTGTCATTTTGGCTTAATTAGA